ACAGTTGATAGGTTGTACAAATAACTGTTGACATGGTATCTACAGTATGAAATAGTTCTCATTATGAAATATTCATCAAGTCATGTATTGAGTCCATGCATATTGCGTCAGGCGCAAATTACTCTGGTGTATAAAAGTGGGGAAAAAAATCTAGTAGAAAATTATCGGCCTATATCAATTCTCTCAATCCCCGTTAAGTTATTGGAGGGAATCATAACAACCGAATCATTTTTTAAAACAAAATACTTAATTGGTGAGAGTCAACATGACTTTTTCCGGAACCGTTCGGCTGTCACTAACCTTGTCATATACACGCAGGAAGTTATTGATTTCATAAGCGATAAAAAACAAGTAGACACCGTGTATACCGATTTCTCCAAAGCATTTGACAGAGTTCACCATGCATCACTTCTAGTTAAGCTGGTGAACATCGGTATACACGGTAATCTGCTTCAGTGGATTAAATCCTACATAAGTAATAGATCCCCGGTTGTCAAAATCAACAATATTCCACCATCACCAGTCAGGGTCACCTCGGGAGTTCCGCAAGGGTCTCATTTGGGTCCCCTACTCTTCAATCTTTTCATACATGACATTGGTTCATGCTTTGAAAACTCACACCATTCTATATATGCTGATGATCTTAAAAATTTCAAGTCAATATCTACCTTGACAGATAGCCAACTACTTCAACGTGATATAAATAATCTACAGAATTCCTGTGTTACCAATTACTCATCCTTGAATGTAAATAAATGTCTTTACATCAGATTTTCCCGACTGCCTAACGAAATCAATTCTCTTTATAATATCGACAACAATTCGTTATCCAAAGTAGAAGTACTGAAAGACCTAGGTGTGATGATCGATTCAAAACTCACTTTGGAGGCACATATTGAGAAAATAGTAAAAAAAGCTTTCAGAAACCTGGGATTTATTACAAGAATAAATAAATCATTTAAAAATCTAAAGTCGTTGTTAGGAGCCACCTCGAGTTCGCATCGATAGTATGGAACCCCTACTATTATAAATACATTGAACGAATAGAGAGAGTTCAAATGAAGTTTATGAATATATTGTTTTTCAAGTTCGAGAGACCTCAAACTCACTTATCATACGAGAGTCGCTTAAAACATTTCAATCTCAGCGAACTTGCCTCTCGGAGAATTGTAAGCTACGTTATATTTCTTTTCAAAATTCTCAGCAACAGAGTAGACAGTAGTTACATAGTCAACAGTCTCTCGTTCAATGTACTCACACACCTTACCAGCTCACATAATTTGTTTTACCTACCAAATCATTAGACGAATTATGCAAAAGTTCACCTCTATACATGTTACAAGATTTATAGGGTGGCCCGGCGAATTCCCCGGATAACTTCAGAGGATTGGCGTTGTTAAACTGTTCCCTCAAGCTATTCACAAGCGCAATTCTCACAAGATTAACTTGCTGGGTAGATGACTGCAATATATTGCCGGAATCTCAGTCAGGTTTTCGCTCGACCAGAGGATGTATTGACAATGTCTACACCTTGACTTCTATCATCCACCTTCATATTCGACATAGGAAGCGAAAGATATTTGCTATATTCGTTGACTTCAAGAGAGCTTTCGATTCTATAAACCACAGTTTACTCTGGATAAAACTATTTAATTTAGGATTATCATCAAATATCATTCGTTTATTGAAGAACTTATATTCACAGGCAACTGTTCAGATTAGAGGCTCTAACGGATACACGAAACAATATGAAGTTACAACAGGTGTGTTACAAGGTGAACCATTAAGTCCCCTGTTATTCGCACTTTTTATAGCGGATATTGAAACCTTTTTTTATGAAAATGGAGCGCAAGGTGTCAACATAGATGATAAGAATGACGTTTTAACATTAATGTATGCTGATGATCTCGTTATCTTGGCTCATTCTGAAATCGATGTTGTTAGGAAACTCAAAATTCTGGAAAAATACACTACAGAAAACGACTTAACTGTCAACCTTAAGAAAACTAAAATAATGCAATTTTCTAAAGGTGGGTTTCAAAAACCAAACTTCACATTTCACTTTGTCAGCCATGTAGTAGAAGTCACCAATAAATATAATTATTTAGGAGTAACTTTTACATCATCTGGTCTCTTTCATGAAATGTCCACTTTGACCAACACCAAAGGCAAACAAGCTATTGGTTCTATTTTGCCTATTTTGTCTAAGGCTAAAATTGATACCTGGCCACCAAGGTTAAAGTTATTCGAATCATTAACTTTAAGTGTTATGTATAACTGCGTGCCAGTTTGGGGTCTCAGATATCTTGAAGTGCTTGAAAGAGTTCAAATATCCTTTCTTAAAAGAATTCTTTTAGTTTCCACCAATACACCCGATGCCATTGTTCGCTTAGAAACTGGGAGGGTGAAACTTGCTTATAATGTGCTTAAAATATCCGTGAACTGGATTTGCAAAATACTGTCCATGGAAAAACATCGATACCCAAGGCTTTGTTTTGAACAGCAAAGGCGTATTATAAATTACGCGGACCCTAAATATAATTGGCTTTTGCAAATGAAAAATTTTTTTGTTGATTCTGACTCCTTGCTTTTATGGAATGATCTGAATTATAATAATTTATTCAAACATAGAAATACTTTATATGCTAAATATTATACATTCTTACATGACTCAGATCGTTCAATATCTTCCCGTTACCCTTTTTTGTATATTTACAATCTGCTTGGAACTTCCAGGGTACCTAGCACTTACTTACTATTGAAATTACCCATCCAAATCACCCGCACTCTTGCCCAACTACGTATGGCCAATCACTTTAAAATTAAATTCACCCTGAACGGAATTGCCTACTCCATTGACCCTGATCAAATTTGTCCAGTTTGCAACAGGAACGAAAATGAAACTCTCCTCCATATTATTTTTGACTGTCCGATCTACACTGTCATGAAACAAGGAGCTCCATGTCTAAGGAATTTGGAAACATTAATCATTGCCTTACAAAAAATAACAATCAGTGATGCTAGAATAATTTCTGAATATATTTGGAATATCCTTAAGCTAAGATCATTTATTCTGAATGAATAAACTATAATTGTATTATTTTCTTCTTCTATAACTATTGATATTTATTTTATACTTGAACTTGGTAGGTTTTAATGTTCAATCGGTTTTTTTTTTTTTATTCATTTCCAGAGTACAAACATACATATTATCCTTTTTTTTTTTCTGTCATACACTCGTTGCTGTAAACTTGTTTAAGAAGCAATAAACTATTATTATTATTATTATTATTATTATGTTACAAGATTTATATAACTCATATTTCAGCCACATCGATCTGTTCAATAGCACTTTACATAGAGTCAGGAAAGAATCTGGACAAGTTTTTGATTTGAATTGATTCATGACGTTATCCAGATTTCCAGTCCAATACTTTTTTGGTACTTTTTTGTTTTTTGATTTTTGTATTCTTGTTTATTTTTGGTGATAATTTCCAGGATATCATTCTAGTTTCTCTATATCAACTTACGAAGTGTACACTCTATCAATTCAAATAAATAAATAAAATAAATAATACGCAATTCAATGGTGAATCATAAATGTTTCTCCGATTTTCCCTTTCTCAAAAATGCAATTTCAGTAATGAAAGAATACGTGATTGAAGTATGAAGTAATGGCTGTTATAGTTTCCAGATGATTCAAAAACTCGACTATATGGATCTGAAATCTGTTCCGGCAAGAATATAGCCCTAAGGAATCAAAAAGAATATTTAATCTGAAAACAATCTACAAAGTATAAATTCAGCTAATTTCTAAAATATGGCGAGTACGCAACTTCATCCATTCGCCATAATTTGCATTTAAAATAGAATCTGAATAATAATTAATTATGATTTAGCACATTTTCATTTGGAAAGTAGTATCATCATACAGAGTTAGTTGGAATCAATAAAGTTGAGTGTATTTCCGGTTGAACCGGAAGTTCATCATTAACAAAAACAATCACGTCGCATCTTGGGTCATTGTCCTGTTCTCAAAGATTTCATAAATTTCGTCCTTTTCGTTTCAAAGATATTTATTATCTGCTACCATCTAGGTACCATTTCAACGGTTTATTGTTCTTGGGATATGAAATTGGGTAAGATAACTTGAAATCCGCGAGAATAAATTTCTGAAAAGATATTTTTACATACTTATACTAACTCTGTATATAATCACAAGCAACCATTCAATCAAATTATTCATTTCTTTCACTAATACCAGATAAAGCTGTATACAGTGTGTTCCGCTTTCCATGAAAACATCGTAATATCTGAGTCATTAATGATGCGATTTTCTCGAAATTTTGGTGGTGGAGATTTTAGTGCGCAGTCATGAAAATTTTGAAAATATGAATTGGTGGGTTTTCGGGGATGCTGATTCTGAATCTGATAAACACAGTTATTTGAAATAACCCCTTATATCCTTTTCACGAAAGAATGCCTTTTTCTGTACCCCTCATCATCGCACGCCAATGATGAATGAAACTGTTCACTCTGCTAAATAATTTATTGTTTTAACATAGGATCACCAACAAAATGTCAAGAAAATCGCATCAATTATAATTGAGATATCAGTGTATTCATGACTGTATAATTTTCACCGGAATGAGAAAAATAACAGAAGAAAACTACTCCAATATAGGTATAGTATTCCCAAAATCAGTTGGAGCACCTCAAGCAAGGGATGTACATCACGTGCAGCTGGTCTGTTCTTCTTCAGATGGACTGGAGCTGCTCCAATCGATCTCGAGGATAATATACCATGAAAAATTACACCCCAAAACTATATTTTTTGGTTTTTCACACTAACACACATTCCAAAATCATACCTTATCGTTGATTCTCCTGATGCCATATTCAAATGTTTTGTTGTTCAACTATCTCAAATATACAGGGATCAGTATGAATGCTCTCACAACCATGGCTTGAAGAGATTTTGACAATTGGTTTTGTTCCAGCTTTTCATGATAGACAATTGTGCCGACGACTGGCGGATCGCGATGACCTGGCAAAGGATAAGCCAAATCTCCATGGAGCTGATAATATGTGCAGTGCATCCTATTCCGGGACACTATCTGTTCGTGTGGACAACGAAACTCGCGAACAAAAGTGGCGGTATCGGTAGAAAGTGTGTGCCCTACGATGTGCCCTTATCCCTACCGATGTTCCTCAGGCTCTACTTGATATGCAGGGTGATGTTGCTGCATAGTAAACTGTTCACGGACGCCTCTTCGCGAAGTATAGGTGCCCTTAATCGGATCAATTTCAATACGAGGTTCGTGTTAAAAACTCTAATGACAATCTGCCCTGGTACGGTGCTTCTCGTCTTCATGGTCTCCCTGTGGATCATCGCCAGCTGGACGCTGCGGCAGTGCGAAAGGTAATTTCATTACTTTAAGAATCAGTTCACTCCTAGAATCGATTTTAATGTTTTACAGTTTCACTCTCTCACCCTGTTTCATTCAATAAACTAATTTGACGATGAGTTATTATTAGACCACATTCTTTGGAGAAAGCAATTTGATATTTCGAAAGTTTCATTGGACCAAAAAGAAGGAATCGTTAAATCTGAAATCGTTATAATATTACCATCAATCGGACCAATTTCAATCCAAAGTTCGTGTTGAAAACTCTAATGACCATCTGCCCTGGTACGGTACTTTTCGTCTTCATGGTTTTCCTGTAGATCTTTGCCAGCTGGACGCTGCGGCAGTGCGTTAATTTTAGACACAGCTCACTCATAGAATCCATCTTAACGTTTTACAGTTTAACCCTCTCACCCTGTGCCATTCATTCAAGTAATTTGTTCCTGGCAATACCTCTTTCAACACCCAGATACACAAAAGCACTGAAAGGGACACAGAATTTTTTCCAATATGTTTGAAAATGTATTCTTTCCACGTTTGAATTCAGACTAAGATTTTGAATGGTGCATTGAATCAAGAAAATTTTTGTAACTGCCGTGTCGTCGAGAGTATCGACCTGTGACATGGGTTTTCATCAACAGCCCAATAGGGAATGATTGAACATGTATTTGGATATAGAGGGGGCCAAATCAGCAACATATCGCATGATGATAAGTAGGCGCTGAATAACCTCAAGTATAGGTTCGTCAAGTATTATTTGCGATGGACCCCGCAGCAACAGAAATATAACTCACTAGTAGTTATATAGTAAAAAAAAATAAAGGAGAATCAAACTGTTCCAGAGTGACTGCCTGATAGCGACAGCAGTATACCATTCTGTGGCAGAAATTTCACTTTCAGCTAAATCGTTATTGCTATCATATAGGACTTCAATATGCTGCTTTTATTCGAAGATGTGGATATGGATGTGGTAATAGGATTTCTCATAAGGTTAGCAAGGAATATCTCAGCAGAAACTCTGATAGCACATATTTCCTCAGTGAGTAAATACCTAGCCTAAATAGCCTAAAATGATGGTAACTTGCGGCCAGGGATATTCAACTGCATCAAGGATAGCTCAATCACTGTACCACAATGTAGACATCTAGAAGGCAACGTGGTGACGTCAGCTGAAGTTTATGCACATGTTGAGTATCCAGTGGGATTCTATGATCAAAGGAGTTGCCTCATATGTGAGGCTGAGCCATCTCGCTGACGTCAAAATGGTATCATAAGTTCAATGGATCGAGCTTACCTTTGCAGATACTTGAAGGGTGTGGCAGATTTCTCCTGAGAGCAGTTAAAGATATCTGAGATAATGCAGCTTCATGATCCCATCTCCGTTTATTTTTTCTCCATAACCACTGTAGTGATCCATGCACAGTCCTCTTCTGGATCCATCTTATGTTGCCAATGAATACATTTGTGTTCTATGGCATGAGCCCCAGAGTTTCAGAAGACCTGTCTGCATTCATGATTCCTATTTGACAATTCCATTTCATTATGCATAACGTTGCTCATCATTAATGAAATCTGTACGCACTCACCATTTCTACTAGAATGTTCTCCATGTAACTGGGTAATCTTGGTTATTTTTTCTATAAGTTCCACCAGAGATATATTTTCTTGGTCTTCAAGTTTTTATTTGTGACCAGCCCAACTTATCCAAAATGCTCAGTGCATTAGTGCATAATGAGCGATGGTATTCCATTTTATAAATCAGGATAATTCATCTCCTGACTACAAGAACGTTGGGTATAGAATGCAATACAAAAAGAAGATTGAAAATACAAAGATGTTGAAGTCTCATCACGAGCAACCCACGTGTTTAATCTTTTCCTATATGAACAACAAACCCCTAGTTCGGAAAATCATCAGAACCAATGACTGCTTGATTTATAATGGGAAATCGGGCTCATGTGTGAAATTACTTCCACTATTTGATACCCGACAATGGTGATCGAGAGAAAACGAGTATTCTATCGATTTCCGTGACTTTTCCATCAAAAGTAAATTGCCTGATGCGGAACGGGGTATCTAGTATCGAATATGATAATGAACTTTTTCTCGCTCACCTAGGTGAAGGAATCAGACTGCAATATAAAATACAATAAACAGATTTGATTGAACGATTGAGAAGTTGAGCGAGTGAAGGAACAACAAAATGACTTTAAGAAATTTCTGATATGACTTTTCGTTTTCAAGTTATTTCTAAAAAACTGAATTACTGGTTTTTCTAGTTTTTTATTTTGTTGGCGTTAATAATGAAGTTATGTCAAAACTGAAAATATATCTTGATAGCAACTCTTGATGCTTTTCAATTTGGCTTCATCGATTTTCTGATTCAACGTTTCGTCTTTGAGCAACGGTTATTAACTTCATTTTTTCGAATACGGCCCTGATATTTTGATGTCAGATTTGAATAGCCCTTTCCATCCTGATTTCAACAATATACTACATACTGTGGTTTTGATGCGTTTCGAGTTTATTTTGGTCATCATCAAATAATTTTTGGAATACTGAATTGAATTTCTTATAATTCTATGATATGGAGGTAGTCCTGGCCAATTTGACACTGGCGGAAGCTAGTAATGCTGAATAATGTTTTGAATTCAACAGTGACAAGATGTTTTGCATGCTCAGAAAGCAATGAAAATCTTTAAGAACATCGCTTGTGGATTCATCTGTTTCGTATCTGATATAGTTCAGGAGTTCAAAAAGTTTATTTCTTCACGGTAATTTTTTATAAAATTATCGATTATTCACGTATTTTTGAATGCATAATAATGTTTATGTAGCATTGTTGAATGTTTAATTCGAAAAATAAACTTATTCCACAGAATCATGGTAAATTCAGTTCCGTATTCCCAAAATTACTTGATGATGGCTAAAATGAGCTCAAGAAGCATCAAAATCACAATATGGAGGATACCTTTGAAATCAAAATGGAAAGGATTGGTCAAATCTGATTTCAAAATATCAGGGCCCTATTTGGATAAATCAAGTTGATGATGGTTGCTCAAAAACATTGAATCAGAAAATCGATGATGCCAAATTGGAAAGCATCATAAGCCATATAGATGTATTTTCAGTTTTGTCATAACTCCATTATCAAGTCATTTTGTTGGGCCTTCACTCGCAACTTTCCTTCCATTTAATCAAATCTGTATCTCGCGTAGTTTCCGAGATGCCCATACTGGCCACAGTGTATATAGGCGATTTCTTAATACGTCAACGATTTTGAATCGAAAGAATTGTCGATTCAATTTCAGCATGCTTCTGCAACTTCTGTCGAACTACCCATTAAAGTCCACCCTCGATCAACTCCAATTGTTTGAGGCAGCGCCATACAGTGTGTGTCGCGATTTCTGTATCCTACCTTAGAGCTTTGCCACTAGATGGCTACAACATGACTATAACTTCATCTTATACCCTGCGTCTTCGAAATGGGTGATATACCCGAAGCGTAGAGTTGTCCCAGTTGTCAGCAGACCGAGAGCGGCTGATGAGACCTGGTGGGTCGAAACAGTACTGTCTCGCTCCTGCTGACAATTGGGGCAACTCTGTTCATCCTGGATCTCTTAGTTATGAGATCTAGCAGTTGAATAGATGGTGTAAAAAATCCACTCAAGTATGTCAGGTAGTGCCATCTGTCAGCAGAGTGGTTTACTTGTAGTACCACTCTGTAGCGTATAGACGTATGGGTCTGTACGTGTGACTATAGATGGCAGCGCCATACAGTGTGTGTCGCGATTTCGGTATCCTACCTTAGAGCTTTGCCACTAGATGGCTACAACATGACTATAACTTCATGTTATACCCTGCACAATATCCTAAGATCACTTACGATGTTTTAATATATCTATGAATATGCGAGCTGGTAAAATTGTGATCCAATTTGTGACAGCAGCTGGTTACGTTACGGTGCTCGCGATACTCCAAGCACTTGATGAACAATGAATTATAGACCCTTTACTGATCCCTTGCCCTATCCGAATTGTCACCTGATGGTGTGAGCTACGGATCGTTGTAGGTCATTTTCATGAAAAATTACGGTAAGTTTTGACAAGAAGCCAGGCGGGCTGTAATATATTGTGTCCGGAATGGAGAAACTTGTCTCGAGAAAAAAAATCACAAGATAATAAATTTAATGAATAGCTATAGAAATTCCCAATGTATAGATAGATATGTGCATATTATCTCAAAAATCCAGTAAAAGTGTCCAAAGATAAAAGCATATCTGAAATGGAAATAATGGAAACAATTGAAAGAACACATAAAACTCACTAGCTCCAACGAATTACGTCATCAGAACACAAATATCAGTTTGACGTCATGATGTCCTATACAGAAGAAAACAAATTAAACACATGCTTGCAATGTCAACAGTCGACTGAATATGGGTGAAATTCAATAGATTAAAATGATTCATTATACTTCATCATATATTTTCATGGTTAATATAATATATGAGCAATAATGTTCGTCACTTTTTTCATGAGACCCATCATTCCAAAACACCACCTCGAACATATTCCTTCTAGTAAACGATAATCATATGTATATATATATATATATATGTATGTACTCGTTGTACATGAATTAGCCACAGTAGTGTGGAAAATAAATGAGAAACAATAATTAACATCTAAACTCAAACTCATCATCTATTGACTTATAATTTGAAGTTACTGAAAACATTTGAAACAACATTTTCCCAACCATTTCCTCAGTAATTGAAGATAATCGATTTTGGAACTAATATTTATCTACAATAAGTTACAAGTTATTGACCTTGAAAGTTGAAATAAGAGAAAATGATATCAATGATATTTGGGCAGGTGAGTAAACTCATACTAATGCACCTTCCCATACGTCAACGGCTTTTCAGTGAATATGTTTTATACTCGATAGGACAAAGTTTTTTCGTTTAATGAAGTGATTTTCGCCAAGGTGACAAATTACACATTTTTAT